TTATTATAATTTAATAGAATCATGTAAAAAGAAAAACCCATTATTGGTACTACAAATGGCTCAGAAAGATTTCATTTCGACAAACAACTAAAAGAATCAACGAATAATAGAAAGAAAAACACCAATGGAGAAGCTGTGTCTTGGCTAAAAATACAATCAGATTTCTAAAAAATGCTCCATATAAGATGTTTTATAAAACTTCCTTGGATGACAACTCCGAATTCAAAGTATCAGACCTCTCACCTAAAAGAGGAAGACCTAGAATATTCGAAAATATTGATTTGCTTCCATTATACACAAGCATTAGACCAATAACAGAAGAAAAACGTAAAGATATGATGGATCCCACCAATTTTTCACAAACACTTTATTTACCTAAATACTAATAAATAATTTACTTGGTTACAATGAAATGAATTTGAATAAAATGTTAATAATAATTATTGATTATTAATAAAAATGTTTTCTTGAAGGTATGAGTCATTTATTAAGTCATGCAGTTAATTTTGAAAATGGTATAAGTCATTTGAATCTTTCAAAACAACATTTCCTTTTAAAAATGGTTATAAATTTCACAATCATAATAAATACTTATTTGTTGACACTACTTTACTGTCGAAAACGCATATTCCATAATACAAAAATATTTTTTAATCCTTTAAAATGCAAAACTCAAAATATCTCGAAACAAGGAAAATGTGATTTATACCACTATCAAAATCAAGGGCATATACGTATACATATACATAAATTTAAAATGAAAGTAAATTTTAACCGTAAGAGTATGAAAATTTCAAATTTGGAAAATGAAAGTTTGAAAAATAAAAGCTAATTCGTTTTTTATTATTTTAAAAATTCCAAAATTTCCCAAAAATTTTTTCTGAATTAAAAAAAAAAACTTAGCTGAGCTGTTCTCGCTTGAGTTTGATTGTAGCTATTCTTTCGCTTTTCCTCTTCTAGCGTTGTTGGCTGATTGGTTAATTAATTATTGGTAGCGATCATGTTAAGTGTTGCCTGCTCTTACTTCTGGTTTACTTTCTTCGGTATACTTTCTATACAGTATAATAAAAACATAATAAAAATATAATTAATAATAATGATTATAATAATAATAATAATAATAATGAAGACACTCTACACCTTCTAAACACGGTTTGTTCAATTTAATAAGTTACTGAACATGAGAGTAAGTTATAACCTATCGCATATCGCGTACATACTTTCCTAATATTTTTGAGATCTTCTTCTCTAATCTATTCCAATTTCTCGTCACTCTTTGGGGAGGAAAATCAAGGCTCATTTAACATCAGTCAGCATGTTTATTCAAACAGAACATAATAAGGTAAAAAAACTGTGTTCGCATGAATACCGCTCCTCAAAGCACAACTAATAATTTCATCCCCAGGGTTTAATAAATACAACGGTTTACCCTTCAGCTCATATTAGCTTAAGGAGGTCAAAGCAGCAAAGTTGTGATGGACACCATAATTTTCCAACAAAGATTTGAACAGAGACGACTTATATTGAACGTCATAGTCGTAATGGATTAAGGAACTCCAAAAATGCGAAAACTTTTGTTTTCTTGAAATACAACTATATTTTGATCATTAAGCTTTATAATAAAGCCCGTGAAAATTAAATTTTGTAAGATCTTCGATGACAAGAGGACCACAAAAGGATCTAAGATAATGGCTGAATAAATCGAGATATAGTTTTTGAAAAAGTCGAACAGAAATCGTTGGTTTACAGAATATAAACTAAGGCCTGTTTAGGGATCTTCGGCTAAGGATTTTAGGCAATGAATGGTTTTTGATTAAATCTCCTTAAGCACTCAATAGAAATTGCATAAGTTCGTTGAATTAAATCAGTGGTAAGAAAAGGTGGAATCCATAACCTCCATTGTTTTTGTTATTTTATTGCGTCTGGGTTCGCTTAAATGTTACTTGACTCTCTATATCAGATAACTTTTCCAACTTAGATCTCTTAAAGAAACATTACGAGGATTGGAGCTCATCAGAAGTCAAATCAATTTCAATGAAGTCGACCTTTTCTTCTAAAAACCAGCTATCCATAAAGTATTGATTTCTTGGAGGTCTTCGGAATGAACACAATCCGCCGAATCAGGCGCAACTTGTTGGTAGGGTCTTTCTGGGTGGTACCATGACCATTAAGTGAAGTTAAGTGCTATGGGTACCGTGCTTACTACATCTCGATGAAACAGCTTAATGACAGCAAATGGTCGTACATAATTTCGGTAACCATAAGAAAGAACGGCGGAACAGAATAGTCTTCCGTTGCTCAAAACAAATTTCCAAAAGAGACGAGGTCGAGTTGACGGCCGTTTAACTGTTTTATAAATCGAAGGAAAAGATAAACATTTATTGAAGATTCTGGACTTAATTTTATTGTGTTCAAGTAAACGGACATGGTAGCCTTTGAAAATCCTTTGAGGAAAGTTCTTGGATGGATTATGGGTAGCATGATTCACAAATTGCAGTAACTCGAACTGATCATTCAATGGGGTTTTTAAGGAATAGTTTGAATTGAGAAACGTGGAGTTAAGACTGGCGTGTCTTTGGTGGAATTGGACGACTCAGAGCGGTTTTACACCGGCTTTGCGGTAGTTTCTCACATTCAGAACATTTTCGTTTATATAGATTTGGAGTCCCACAACCGTAACAAAATGCACGCCTATCAGCTAGGCAGTCTTCGAAACGACGACCTTTTGGCAAACAGTTCCAACAAGTTTTTCTATATATATATTACTCCATATTTTTCAACATTATCAGTTGAACTAGCTCTTCGTTCTGTACCATTTCTGAAACATCATGAATGCTGTGTTTTGTGAACTTAGACTTGTTCCATTCGTTCTCTAATAACTTATCTCTCAAAGCGAATTCCCTCAACCGAGATATAGTTGTGATTTAAAAATGCATTAGTGCTTCGAGGCTTTCGAAACACAAATCTCTTTTCAGAATTTCGACCCATGCGTTACTAGGTACGGGAACTTCGAGTTGGTCAGTCATTGCAAAATCGCGTCATAGTATTCATCAAACTTTTAAACGAGCGTTTCCTTTCTATTACGAATCAAATCTATTGAATCCAGATCCGAGAGTCGGTCCCTAAATTGAATTCTAAACTCGTGGTACAGGGTGTCTTATTCAAGTACATGAACCTTACGATGGCATATCCAATATCAGTCCAAGTCTATAAGCAGTAGGCGGAGATGATGAGAAAACTTTAAATTTCCACGTAAACTTTGCGTAGTTAACGCTTAGATTCGATACAGAAAATAATCATTCCACAAGACTTCATGTTCGTTACAAGTAAACCTTAAATACCAACCAGAAATAATGTGCTAGTTACTTTGTCCGGATTCAAATCGTAATGGTAATGATGAATAGGGTGTCTGGAATAAATCGGAAGGAAGCATTGTGAATTGGCAAATTATCACAATTTGAATGAGCTTGAGCTCTATTTATATTCGAAGCGCTCAATTGAGATGTAAGGATTCCATTAATAAGGGACTGTAACATTGAACTGTTAATCCACATTGTAATTGTGTGAATGAATTCCACCAACATATCCACCTCAATCATAAAACCTTCTTAATTTAAGTATGGCTCTTATATAACTGCAACAATTCGCTTCATCTCCTGCCCAAATCGCCACGTATGAACCCTATCAAAAATATGCCGGATGAACAGACCACTGTGTGTGAAAGCGTTCAACTTCTGCCGTCCAAGATTTGAAAAATAGACTACAAGATGAATGAAGTAAGATCCCTGCTTCTTACAAAAAAAAAATATACAAAATATGTCAAAACATTCAAATGAAGGTATTAAGCAAAAACGATATCCCATCAAATATTAATTTTTAATAATATGCTGTTTTCTTTCTTTTCATCCTTCCTTCCTTATATGAAAAAAGCTCAATATTAATCATACTATGTTTTTTAACTTTTTAAGTTATTTAATTTTCTTGTCTAAGGGAATATCGTTTCGTTTTTCTTATATATATTAATATGTACTCCCTAGTAGTATAAAATAGTAAAACAAATTTTTATTTTGGTTTAACAAGCCTTTACTTTTTGTCAAGCGAAAAACGCCAATGTTAATAAGACTCACTGCGTGTAAACAATTTACACTTTAATACAGAAAAAATGTTGTAGATCGATTGTAAAATACCGAACAAAGGATTAGAACAGTATAAAAGATTTTCCGGCCATATTTGCCAAAAGGTATATTCCAAATTCTATTAAATGACACCAAAGGAGCAGAAAAAAGACAATATATAAAGAGCGACAAGTTGCTTCGCATCTTTTCATTTATTTTGTCTTCTTGCGTTTGCTCTTAAATGAAAACGAGAAAAACTGAAAGCTTTTGTGTTTATAAATCTATATTTAATTTCCTCATTTCTATACTCAT